TCTCCGTGTGTTAAATTGGGAAGTGCCACAGCACTCTGCTGTGAAAATCTTGTGAAAAATTTTCAGTATTCTTGTAGACACTTAAATCCAGGTTACATTTTCGTTATCATGGAACGTAAATGGCATTCCCTTTTGCTACTTGGACTAAAAGCCAGTGATTAGTCTAGCTCCACCATTTTTAAGTTTGTTTTATGTTTTCTACCAATATATTACTTTAAATTATAGCTTTCACAAACTTCACACTTGTACAAAACATCACTTTCGTGTCTCCAAATAATTTTCAAGTAGCAAGCAACCCTTTTAGTCAGTTAATTTTTCATTAGCATGATTCATTCGGCGGCATTGGTTGACCCTGTAATATACTAGGGAGTGTTTTAGCTACTGCAAATACATTGGTGGGGCCTGTGCTCATGCGGCTTACAGTCTAGAATGGGAGGAAACAGCCTATAAATAAAATACACTAGAACTTTTTAAACAGCGCTTATGACTGAAGGGAAGGAAGGTAGAACAATGTTGTTGAGAGGGGCTTGGGAAGGTGGACAGAGATCAATCTGACTGTTTTAGCTGAAACTATATACATTTTCTGTCCCTTGGAGGTTGGTGAAGCCCTCATGAATCAAAAAGAAGAGAATCATGTTTATTTTAAGCAGAAGGAAGTAAAAGAACCCCCCCCCCCAGCTTAATAATTATATTGTATTGCTTTGGTGTTTTAGTGTGTCCATAACATTTTAAGAGTTTGATTGATGAATAAAAGAATGCCAATGTACATCTTTCAGTGTCCTTCGCGTTGTTAGTAAGCATCATGGAAAAGCAGGAGCATCCTCATTTCATCGTGTTGTGCCCTGTGTCCAGCGTGGCACAGTGTCTGTGACACAGGAGGCTACCAGGAGACCGAGTGGACTCGACAGAAGGAGTTTGGGTCTAGTCTCACCTGCCAGACCCTGTGTTGGGCTCTGAGCGTGAAGAGGTGAGGAACTAAGCCGCTTGCTGAGGCCAGTGGCAAAGGGACAAACAGGCGTGTGAGGCTGTTGTTATTGCAAGGGATAGAGAGGCTCGCTCATTCAGTTGACCTTAAGTAATGGAGGATTTTCTTATAAGGATACTCCACGATGAAAGAAGACTTGAATCGGTTACACCTCTGTGTCTCTGAGGAGCACAGCAGCGAAAACTGAACTAATGGAATATCGTTTGGGAAGGGAAGGCTGCTCTAGCGAAACAAGTGTGAAGATATTCATGGGAACACAAGATTCAGTATTCCACTGCAGTCACTGGGGGAGAAAGTCAAACCAATATAAATATTTCTGTGTTTTTCTAAGGGGGTTCACTAAGATTTTAGGTTATATCTCTTGAAACTGTTCAGGGTTTAATGCCAGTATGTTCTTAAATCTGTTGTTTGTTTCCTCTGGGCGGTAGTAAGTTTTCTGTGCTTCTATATTCTCCTACTCTTCAGTTTTCCGTGTGTGTGTGTGTGTGTGTGTGTGTGTGTGTGTGTAAACATGTCTTTTATTTAGACAGTTAACAGATTCAGAAACTGTTTATTACTAGAAGAGGTGACTAATAAAAGATGCTAATTATACAGCTGAGACAAAGATCGTTGTGTGTATTTTACTTCAGGGTACACGAACACTTTTCTGTGAGACTATCTACATACTACAAAATATCCAAAGAACAAGAAATTCTAAAGATAGAAACAGAGCCAGTCTGAGAAAATTATCATTTTAAAAACATGGTTGTATATGAAGTTTTTTTTATAAGTTTCATTGTGGTAATATAGATATATAATAAAAGTGTCATTTGATGACCCTTATTGAACATTTTGATCCAAGATTTTGTAGGAAGGAATCTTGATCAGAAGGGATTAAAAAAAAGTGTAACAGGATTTACAGAATTTAAAATTCTCACATAATCCAAAGTTTAGGAGGCTGAAGGACCTGTACACCCAGAACCCACACTATACCCTGAAGCCATCTGTAAACAAAACAGTTGTGTAGCCTCATGATCACATGAGGATATTATGCTCCTTTAAAGAATTATCTGTCGACGGCGAGCACACTGACACAGCGATTGGAAAGATTAGATACGAAGTTAGGCAGCAGTGAGTTTATGTTAATAGTGGTGAAGTAATTTGGAAAAAGATATCAAGTTGGCACAGTGCGTAGCTATAACCAATGTCACTGAATTTTACATGTAAAAATTGTCAAATGGGTGTTTTGTTAGGTATATTTTCACACACAAATTCCTAAAAAGTTGTTCATTTAACCATTCTTTGTGTAAGTCACTAACAGTTAAATTACTTATTTCCCCTGTTTGCTTTCATCCCTATCCATTTCCAAAACTTCCTCATCGTTTCAGACAAAATCAATAACCTTTCAGGTTTCACTTCCTCCAGACACCACAGCCTGTAACCACGAATAAACTGGTTTCTGTGCCACTGCCTATTTTATATACTTCCTATCACCAGATCATACCATATTTGTCCTTTTTTTCTGACTGATTCCTCTTTGTATCATATTTTTAAAGTTCATCTATGTCATAGCATGAATCAGGACTGTTATTTTTTTTTAAGGGCAGTAATTGCCCACATGGAATACACATCAATCCCAATTTGAATAGGAGTTTGTAGTTTATAAGCACTTTCAAAGATGTTGAGTTGCTTGTTCATAAAACTGCATGGAAGAAGAGGGTCAAGTCTTACTTTGCAGATTTGCTAAGTTAGGAAGTTAAATCACAATTACACGATTCAACCAGTGTTTCATTGGAGGCAACAGGGTCAGTAGTGGACTAGTGGTGGCAGTGGCAGTGGCGGTAGTGCTGGTGGTGGTGGTAGTAGTGATGGTAGTGATAGTAGTAGTACACAAAATTTGTCCAAACCAGTTCTTAGAATACCAAGAATATGCTGTGCAAATTGAACACCGCACTGTTTAAAGACCTCTGGATGATAGAGGAAATAAATGAAACTTTAAAATTTCTTGTGAATCAACCAATAATGAAAATAATACCATATCAAAACCTTTGAGACAGAGTTAAAGCAGGGTTTAAAGGACAGTTGATAACAATAAGTGCACACATTTCAGAAAAAGAAGAAAGAACCTAAATCAACACCTTTACCAACATCTCCAACACTTAGAAAAGGCAGTGAAATAAGCCTGTAGCCACCAGAAGAGAAAAGGTCATAAAGATTAAAGCAGAAAGAAAAGAAACAAAACAGGCAGAACATAAAAAGAATAAGACAAGCAGTTAGTTCTTTAAAAGGCAAATCAAACAAAGGAGAAAAAGCAAATGAGGAATGAAATGGGTGCCACAACCACTGACGTGAAAAAAGATAACTGCTATGAGGGATGGAAAGGTGAACCCTGACTCAGAAAGAAGACCAGTGTAGAAGAATTGATGCATTCGAATTGTGAGGCTAGCGAAGAAGATTAAAAGTACCAGGGACGGCCAAAAGAATAAACAGATGTGTCTTGGAAGAAGCCCGCCAGAATGCTTAGCAGCAAGGATGACAAGACTGTCTTAGTTTGTACTTTGGACTTGTTTTCAGGGAGACCAGCCCCTGGAAAAGGAGGTCATGCTTGGTTGAGTAGAGTGGCAGCGATAAAGAGGAAGACATAAGATGGTCTGACACAGTGGCTTCAACAGTCGGCTCAAACGTGGACAAGTGTGAGGCTGCTGCAGGACCAGGTGGTGGTCCGTTCTGTGATCACAGGGTCATTGTGATTGGAACTGACTAGATGACACCGAACAAGCACTATTCCAACTAATTTGCACACCTAGAAGGAATAGACACACTTCTAGAAGCACACCTCCTACGGAAACTAACACTGACTGGCTACAGTAGAAAACTTGAGTAGACACATAACAAAAGAAGGTATTGATCAGGTCATTTAAAAACTTAACCAGGGGGAAGGATGGGTAAAAAACAAACAAATAAATAAATAAAAACTCAACCAAAAAAGCCCAGGCCGAGGTAGCTTCACTGGTGAACTCTAGTATATATGAAGTGAAGAACTGACATAGTTCTATTCAAATTACTCCAAAGTATAGAAAAAGGTGGAAAACTCCCAAATTCATTTTATGAAATGAGCCTAACCGTGATACCCAAACAACGCAAAAAAAAAATAAAATCAAAAAATCAATATCCCTCATGAACATAAATGCAAAAATTCTCAACAAAATTCTAGCCAAAAAAATTCAGAACAGTAAAAATAACCAAGTGGGATTCATGCCAGGTATGCAAGATGGTTCAACATTAGAAAAACACTTACCATCTGCACATGCTTGAAACCAGAAGAAGTAGATTGTGCCCAACTACACTGCCAACTGCTTTAAGAAAGATCCCATTGGAAGGTCCTGGACAGTGAAGGAGAACAGTGTGGAACATAACTCAGATTCATAAAGCAGCCCAGGCTTATTGGTGAGATAGAGACTGATGGGCTCACCTAAGACTACAGCTTTAGGAAACCTCAGGTCTGGAAGGGAAACGCACTTCTGTGTTAGACTAATCAACCATTAAAGATCATACACTTCCACCCACCTCACTTCCATCAAGTCTGAAACACAGTGACCGTGCAGGACTGCGTACAACTGCCCCCCATGGGTTTCCGAGACTGTACATCTTGCTGGGAGTAGAGAGCCTTCTCTCTCCCCCAAGGAATAGCTAGTGTATTTGAACTGATGGCCTTGTGATAAAGCCTTTACCCAAGGAGAGAGTCCACAGAGTTAGGGAAGGGGGCGGAATGAAAGTGGGCAACAGGAGGAGGAAGTGGGATAAGTGATGCTATGGATGAGTTGAAGCAAAACGTACATGACTTGTTGATTGTAAAACTGATGATCCACTCTAAGCCTTCACCTAAGTAATGATAAAAGTGTTTTCTTAAAACTTATTAAAGTAATACCTAATTCCGCTGAATCTGCAGGAGTCAAATTACTGAAACAAAGGACACCAACTTTTTAGAGCACTTGATGCGAATTTTAAGTAAATTGGTCTCCGGAGGCATTGATTTACACTGTTCCTTCTTAAGTAGTTTCAGTTCTGGATGCCTAGGGATTTTTATTGAATTGTTTTGGAAGAACTACTTTAGCAGGTAAAATAATGATTTTATTTTATATTTTTTGATTGATAATAAATGTAAACATTTCATTGTCATGTATGTATGTATGACATTTTATTCCGCATTCTTATTTTTCTCCTATTTAAATTATTATTTAATTCACCAGTCTGGAGTTTGAGGGAAATTAGATGAGATCAGACTTGTTCAGGGTGGTTTGGCGGTAGGTAGGCTGTTGGTGAGAAATTTAGATTTTTCTCTAATCATGTTGTTCTTTTTCTCTTAGCTCCGGTGATCAACCGATTCACAAGGCGTGCCTCAGGTAAGCCTGACTCTACTTCTCCTATGGATGTTCCTGGCTCTTGCTGACATTATAAAGATCTGAGGAGTAGTGGATATGAATATGGGAACAGAATTATTGGAGTACCGTAATTTTATCAGAAAATACAACAAGGTGATATATACTCAAGGACTGAGGAATAACTGAACCCGGCCTCTCCGTGCCGAAAGTAAAATTCCCACTGTGCGCTGAGACTGCTGTATCTTTTTGAGTGGCGGTGTTTACCCCAGTGTGTATATTGGGCTCTGGGTAGAGCGGAGCCCTGTGGTGCTGTGGGTTAGGGCTGGGGCAGCTAAGCACTTGGTTGATGGTTCCTACTCCCCAGCCACTCTGTGCAGCATGAGAGACTTGCAGACTCAGAAACTAGATAAACAGGGGCACGGTGAGTGTGAATCCGCTTAATGGCAGTGGGCCGGCTGGGTCTTGGTGACCATAATGGGTACTGCAAGTGGTTGGCTTCTAACTGCAATGTTGGTGCTTCAGACCCGGCTGGTGGCTTCCCTGAGGAAAGGCCTGGCTCCCATAAAGACAGCCCTTAGAAGCCCTGTGGGGCAGGGCTTTTCTGAGGTCACCCCGAGTCGAAACTAGACAGCATGGTGTGTGTTACCAGCCCCGGTGCACAGCAGTGAAAATTGGTAAATGACTCCATAGAAATGGGAGGTGGGGGAGGTTTTCATTAGGGGCAGAAAAAACTGAAAGTACAGATAGAAGAACTTTTTAATAGCAGGGTCATTTAGAATAGGAGAAAATTGCTAAGGACTCTGAGATTTCTACTGTTTCAAATTTACCACGGGCTCTTAGTGCATACTTTTAGTGATAGACCAGAAACACTAACACAGCTATACGTTAACAAAGGGTTAAATTTGACTATGGGACACAATGAAGAGGGCTTCTATCTAAAACGGTTTAAGCGAAGTCAGTTTGAGCCATGAACTAGGTCTGTAGCCCTAGTGAGGGAATTGGGTTTCTCATTGGGCTACGAACCACAGTTTGCTGTTGGAAACCACCAGCCGGTCTGTGGGAGAAAGAGGAGGCTTTCTACTGCCCTCAAGAGTTCCAATCTCAGAAATCCCCAGGGGCTGGCTGTTCTGGTCTGCCCTACAGGGTCACTGGGAATCAGAATTGACTAGTGGGTTTGGGTTTTGGTTTATTGAACTAAACTTGTTTGTGGGTGTGGAAAATTCACTTCTAAGGAGTGAGTGCCTTCTTCTTTGCTGATGGAGGACAAAAGAAGAGCTACTCCATTTGGTGTGAGAAAAGAGCGTCCTTTTAAATGTGACCAGGAAAAAAAAAGTAAATGTGACCAGAATGTTTTATGTTGGCATCACAGAAAAAATATTTCAAATAGACCTTCTTTGATGGTTATGTAGTCCAAATAAGTAACTTGTTTTATAAGGTCATCTTATGCTATTTCATATTAAAGTTATTTTAGTTATTTTATTTTTAATTCGTGAGCAGTTCCCAGTATGCTTTTTTACCCTTATCATTTAGTAAGTCAAGTCTATAAACACAACGACAGGAATTTAGAAAATGTGATCTATTGGGATGGTATCAATCTTTATCCTCCTGAGCTTGTAATGTCAAGGTAGGCCTACTTTAAAAGCTCAAAACATGTAGATTGGAATAGCTTTGAGGGGATGGGAGGTTACGTTTTCACTAGTGAGGCATCAAACTGTATCCTAAACTATCCCAAGCTCTCAAACATGATTGTGTGCAGTGGTGGAAATGGGAACACTAAGGGAGGTTCAGCATTGGGACTTTGTGTGCTCTCTAGCGAAACTGCAGAAGCAGAGTTAAGAGTCTTAAAGGGAATAATCTGCCTGATAATTTTCCGCCCCAACATTTTATTTTTTAAATGTCAAGCTTAGAGAAAATATTAAAAACAGACAAGTGCCTGAATCTTTTCCCTAGATTGCACAGTCCCTGCGCTACTGTATGAGCAGAGACTCTTCTTTCCTGCTGCTTCTCATCTACCCACCCCCACCTCCCACCCATCACTTGTGCGCACGCGTGCACACACTTATTTTTTCACAGAACCTTTTTGGAACCTTCCTGTTTTGGAAGATTACTCTCTCTAGGACAAGAATGGAAACATTAATTGTCATAATTTTTATTAAAAATGAATTGTCGTAGTAGAAGTAGCAGCTCAACAAATTTGATGAGCCTTTTGGGTCGTTGCTCATCTTGCAGAGCATGTGGGAATGATCCTTGGGTTTGGGGTACACAGACTTGAACTCAAGCGTCCCACTGACTGTGTGAACTTGCAGGACAACTATTTGCTTTCTTCGTTTCCTTTTCTTTCAGTTTGGGATTTAAACAGCTGTGGTCAAGTATGCTGCCAGGGTTAAGTTGGATGCTTTTTATGCAGCTCCCAGCAGAATGCCTCATTCTTCTACAGCAGAGCTGCTAGTGGGTCCTAACTGCCCAACTTTTGGGTTCACAGACAAGCACTTCAACCACTGTGCCACCAGAACTCTAAGGAGTGTCTAGGCTCTCAAAAATGTTAGTGCTCAGCCCCCTTCCACGGAGCAAGATTTAAAACAAAACCTTCATCTGTGTGCCCGAACCTATCCACGAAAAAGCATTATAGAGGCCTGCTATTAATCCTTCAATATGGTTCAGAGACTCATCTTAGGTTTGTACCTGGTAGGTTTTTAAAAGTTTATAATAGTTTCCATCTGTGTGAATTTTTTACCCCCTTATGTTATTTTTTAAAAATGTCACCTTTAGAGAGAAGCGTGACAATAGCTCGGTGAATACCTGGCCACCCATCCTTTACCTGGATTCTCCCATTGTTCCTGTTGGGTCCCATCTGCATGTTCTCTCGCTTACACTTAATTATCACCGAACCTTCCAGAACTCCTCAGTAACCTGACAGTGTAGATCCTAAGAACAAGGGCATTCTTTGGCATAAGCATAACCTAACCCTCGAAAAATTTAGCCTTGATCCTGTGATATTATCTAACGTAACATTTTAGAATCAGATTTTCCTGACTGCCCTAAAACGGCCTTTTTTTTTTTTTGGTGTGTGGTTAAAAAGAGGGATTTCAGGTCATTTTAGGATCTTGAGTTGCATTTAATTGTCATGACTCAGTTTTTCTTGCTACCATAAATTGACTTCCTGAGACTTTTGAAGTCGGCTTTTCTAGAATTGTCACGGTTCTCCCTAATGCGGAACCAGTTTCCTGTATGATCTGTTGGGAAGGCTTGATGCTTGGGCACAACCATGTGCCCGTTTGACAGCTGTGTAATCTTTGCATTGAACATGCCATATTGTCTTCAAGGACTTCCTGTCCTGATAAGTAATAGTGTCTTATAATAAGAGTGAAAATGGAGCAACACATTAGGAATTTGCTGATGTCTTCTCTAGTGTTGATAACTAACCACTCTTTAATTTTTAGCCATAACAATAAGCATTAAACTTTATAGTATATTTTTAACAGGGCAAAAAAATGTTATTATTCCCCCCAAAGTAGTGTTTAGAATCATTCAGAGATGAAATTAGGTTCTTTAAATTCCACATGCCTGCCATGTAAAATTATGCTCTAAAAGTCTCAATAAAATCACCCCAAACCGAAACTGATTAGTCCTCAAGAAATAGCAGAAGTTCAGATCTTGTCTTTTGAATCTGATTCATATACTTCCTTTTGTTTTGGAAACATTTTGTAGTCTCAGTAGTGTTTTTTTCTACTTTAGAGTTATTTGATAATAAGATCTTTTTATGCCCACAATTACTATTTCCCAAAGGTGATTTGCTAATTTGCTGTCTTAAAAATATTTGCATATATTTTGTTTGAAATGAGCTTCATTTTGGATAATATTTTAAGCCTGGTAACCACCCACACTAGGAAGTCCATCTTGGGAGAAAGCATTAATTAACTAGCTCATTCGGCAGACATTTACTGGGCCCCCACGGTGTGCAGTGCTGGGACACCCGAAGAATAGGCCACAGCCCTTCAGAAGTCCACAGGTCAGAGAAACTGGCTGCGACTCCAAACTCAAACCAAACTCATTGCCAATGAGTGGAACTGCCCTTGTAGGTTTCCAAGGTCGTACATCTTTGTAGGAGCAGAAAGCTTCATCTTTGTCCACTGACCTTGCAATTAGGGGCCCAACGCCTAACCCTCTACGTACGTCCCCAAGGCTCTATGGTACACACCATAGTAACCACCAAGTGAAAAGAGACTACTGAGTTCTTCCTGAGTATGGCTAGAGGTAGAGTGCCATTTAAAGTGGTCTTTAAAGTTTCTAGCATGGGTTTTAAGAGAGAAGTGAAGGGGCTGTGTTTATGTTTTCCCATCACCAACAACTCAACCAAACCCCGTGTCTTCAAATCCATTGACTGACAGCAACCGCATGCCTTGTGGAGTAGAACTGCCCCAGAGGGAATAGAGAGCCCTGGTGTCACGGTGGGACTGCCAGCTGCAGGGTATCCGTTCACACCCACCAGCCCCTCCTTGGGAGAAAGATGAGGCTATCTTGGAAAGAATTACAGCCTGGGGAAGCCAATATGGGTGGCTAAGAATTGGATACAGGTGGACGGCAGTGGGCTTGGTTTTTTGGAATCTTTCCAGAAGCAGATCATGAAGCCTTTATTTCATGGGTGGGTTCAAACCACCAACCATTTGGTTAGTAGCTGAACACCAACCATTTGTGCCACTTTGTTGTTGCGTTGTTAGGTGCTATCAAGTCAGTTCAGACTCAGCGACACAGAATGAAGTACCGCCCCTTCCTGCATCATCCTCACAATTGTTTTTATGTCTGAACCCCATCCTTGTGGCCACTATGTCAGTCCATCTCCTTGAGCACCTCCCACTTTTTCTCTGCCCTTCCACTTTACCAAGCACGATATCCTCCAGAGACTGGTCTCTCCTGACATGTCCAAAGTATGTAAGATGAAGTCTCACCATCCTTGCCTCTAAGATTTCTGGTTGTTCTTCTTCTATGACAGGCGTGTTTGCTCTTTTGGCAGTCCATGGTAC